GATGGGGGGACATGAAAAAAATAATGTTCTCGAAATTCCGTTTAAATATGCCCCTCGAGGAGTTGAGTGTGGGGCGAGGATTGAAGGTGCGGCGCCGCTACCGACTGAGCCACGCGAGCAAAGAGAAAGCGCACGCCCGATTGCATACATAAAGGCGAGGACCAGGCTTGTTCGGAAAAACAAATTCGGAAAATCGAGTTCTCGAATTTTCTCGAATTTCAATTAGTCAAAAATTACCAGTTTATTTGACAAAAACAACAAAAACAACAAAAAGCACAAAAATGAGTCTTTCTGGAGTCTTTCTGCTCGTTGAAGAATCGGTTGCAAATATTACACTTTTTCCTTCCATCCGCCAGATTTGTCAATACCGCTGAGTATTTTCCCATGTTTAGTCTGAAAATTTCGTTAAATTCAGACAAAGTTACTCACTGCGAAACCAACATTTTTAAGAAAAACTTTTGATGACCTAAAGTCTGAAAAAACCCAAGTGTTTTCAGTGAGAGAAGGTAAAAAATCACTGAAAAATAAAAGAAGTCTATTAAAAACAGTATAAACCGAAAAAAAATGTTGAAAAAGTAATGAAAACCCTGATTAAAGTATGTTTTCATTCAAAAAAAATTAATTTCAAAAAAATTCACCTTAAATCGACCCCGTAAATCGACACCGATTGCGGGTCTCGCCGCGTTTGGGTTACTGTTGCACCAGTTTCAACTATACAAAGTAGAGATTTCCTCTTCACTTTGAACGCAGCATGATTATTTCGAGAAAAAATTTACCGAAAAAAATCGGAAAATTTTCCGACGGAAAAAAATTTCCGAAAAAATCGGAAAAATCGAGAACTCGATTTTCCGATTCCGACCAAGCCTAGCGAGGACGACAGCTGTACGCAGAGTGACATTAAGCGTTGTACACCGTGACGGTAGAATGCATACTCTAGCTACAAAAAAACTACGAAAAATCTCCTGTCCCTCCACCTTTAAGTTCAAAACCCAGCCGATACTTTCCTCAATGCCAATTTTTCTCAATTCCTTGTTTTTTCAATTCTATTTCAATTCCCTTTGTTTCTCAATATTCCTTCGTATTTTTCCCAATTTTTCTCAATTTTCCTCAATTTTCGAGGTAATTTGAATTTTTCTCATTTTTAAATGATTTTCTATATCATTGATTGAAGGAAACAATCACAATTTAGCTGTTTCCCACAAAATTCGAAAATCCCAAAAATTCGCCCAAAATGAGCTATTTTCTGTCGAAAATTGTTCGAACAGGCAATAAAACATTAAAAAAATTATAAAAT